TCTGAAGTAATTGCAAATCTAAAACCAAGCTATTGAGTACAAAATAAATATGTTATCTCAACAACTTAAAAGTCTAATATATTTTACGTGCTTTAACAATTTATTTTCTAATCTTCTCATTTTTATAAAGTTTCATTGTAGTTTTAAAATAAGTTTTTTTAATCTTCTCATATTTTAATAAATATAATCAAACTGACTGCTTCGATTTAAATATATCATAAAAATATGAAATTTATTTAGAAGTGAAGAAATATCTTATTAATTGCTTAGGGCCAATTTGGTGAATTTTGGAGATATTATAAGATGTGGGTTATGAAAACTCAGAGAAATGATATGGACTTTGTAATCTGAAATGATTTTATTTGGAGAGATTTAAATTCAGGATTTAATTAGTGGTAAGAAAAGGTGACTCGCAACGGGAGTGGTTGGCAGTGATAATGGTAGCGAGTGACGAAGAATGATCGATACTTGAAAGAGATATCAAACCCCTATATTGATATCTCCCAAATTCGAGAGATACTGAGACCATCAATTTTAAAGATTTATGATATCTGCAGATATTAAATTTGATAACTCTTTTAGCTTAACCAAACACCTGAAAAGGATAAAGATATCTGGAGATTTCAAAATTCAAAACTCATATTTTTTTTTGCTCACCAAACACACTTTTAGAAGTTTTGTAATAATTGAATAGAAAATTATACATAATTAGAAAATAATTATTATAAAAATGAATATCTATATTCTCTTCCATAATTAATTGTACTGAAGGACTTCATACAATAGTATTAACTTCTTTCTTTCTATAATATATTTTACGTGTCAGAAATTTCTCTTAAACAATATCACATCTCTGCTTCTTAAAGATTAAAATATCAATTTTATAAATAAAGGATCAATTATAAACATATTTGATCCTTTTCTATAAGAATACTCTTAAATGAGAATATCTCATTATCAAAATTTTGTTTTTTGTGTATGCACTTAATTAAAAATTTGATTCATAAAAAATTCTAGTCTTGAAATGGTAAGTGATAATACCAATTTTATATTTTCACTAATTGTTTGCTACATCATAATAATTTTTATCATAAAATTGTATTTTATATAATTGTTTTCCTTTAAAAAATTTATTTCGGACAATACTACATTTATCTTTCACAAATTTGATTTTATAACATAATTAATTTTATCACATCATAACAAATAAATAGATGAATTGCTTTTTAAAAATAAAAATATAAATACTCAACTAATGTCATGAAGTAGTGAATTCTTTATTTCTACTAAATCTTTTAACATAAAATTTTTCCAAAATTTAAAATCATTATAAAATTTCTAGTTTAAAATAAAAAGAAAGGTCAATTCATCATTAATAAAATTTGCCACATAAGCAACCAATAAAGACTTGCCATCTCACCTTAATATAACCCACATAAGCTTGTCTTTTGGCGACTTTTTAGCAAACGGAGTCTTAAATATTATATTAAAAGATTATATTTTTTTATAACTAAAAATAAATTTTTATACAATCCTTTTTTAATTATGAAACATTATAAAAGCTTAAGTGAGATTGTAACAAAAAGCACCCTAGCTTGGATGGTTAGCAACTCAACTAAATGACCAAGAGATCCTTGTTTCAAACC